AAAGCCAATGAAATTACTTGAACTCTCCGGTTTTGAAATAGACTTGTTGGTATACTTCCGTTGAGTTGATTGTTTTTAACATCAATCACTTGCAAGCGAGGCATTTGGCCAAGTCCATAAGGGATGCCACCACGAAAGCTGTTGTTCTGGAGATTGAGAACACTGAGAAAGGACAAATTAGCCAAAGACGGGGAAATTGTGCCTTGAAGTTGCAAATTAGGAAGAGCCAAGGCCACAACCCTTTGCCTTTTTGGAGTGCAAGTAATGCCGAACCAAGAGCAAAAAGAAGCATTTTTGGTCCAATTATTGGCCAAAAAATGATTAGGACTTGTAATAAGATTTTGGAAAGCTAACAGAGCTTGTTGGTCAGTCTCATTAGAGGAAGAAAGTGATATAGAAAATTGGATTAGAAAGAGAAGAATCAATAAGAAAATGTGCTTCTCCATATGATATATAATGTTTCAAGGGAATTAATTTGTGTGTGTTGTATTTCCAATGATCAAAGTTACTCCACTATATATATATAACAAATAAAATGTTGAAAAATATAGACTATAATTTCCAAAATGTGAAAACAGATTCATACGGAGGAAAATAAATAACAAACAGATTAATGTAAAGACGCAAATAGAAAAAAGACACTAATTGGGTTGTGTTTCACAAAACGAAATAAAAGTCATAATAGAAAGAATAAATGTTAATATTAATTTTCTAAATATAGTTAAGAGCAAAGTCAATAGGAGTCAATCTTTCAAATCAACCTTATAAGGCTGTGGCCTGTGTTACACAACACGCATTCACTAATTAGCACAAAATGGATGAAATACTAATGTTTTCTTTTGAAGAAAATCAAACGTGACACACACTACTAGTCTACTACACACATTGTCATGTGTGATTTCACTTTTTTTTTTTTTAAATCTATTTTATTATTTTTATTTTTGTTTTCTTTTAATTCCAACATATAATATATTCAAAATGCGAAAACAGATTAATAAGGAGGAAAATAAGTAGCAAAAAGATTAATGTGAAATTAAAAGGAGGAAAATAAGAAAAGGAATTTATCCATTTTTTCCTTGACAGTTGACACTACTTGGGTTGTGTTTCACTCATAATAGAAGAAAGAATTCTTGTTAAGAGGTTCGTAACTTCATACGATCGGTAAGGTAAGGTCTAGTTCCCTTGCTTGTACTTATTCCTTCTGTGGTTTTATTTATTTTTGTTTTAATTCGCCAAAAAATAAAATAGGAGTCAATATTTTAAGTAAACCATCAACCAAAAATATGTCCAAACTTGTTTGGCATTAAGACGTTGTTGTTGTTGATTGACAAAAAAGCGCCAACGTGGCAGTGTCATGTCTATCCCACACAGTTGATCAACCATATACGGAAAATTTGAGAAATGTTTTCCCCCTGTACCGAACACACCCTTAATTCAGGTCACTAAAGTTATAACAGAAATGTTTATTGATTCTCTTATATAAATGTGATATTGTTTATGAAAAATTTTGTCGTATAAAAATAGGAAGGTTTTTGAGACATCTCTAGCGATCAAAGTGTCATTCAACCTATAAGTATAAATGATCATATGTCTATAGCATAGTACGAAAATAACAACTAAAACATATTTTCAATGAAATTGCTAGATTATTTTTGTCACAATTAAACTCGGGATTATAGCAGAAGCCTCACACTAACCTTTCCAAAGGAAAACTGATAATAAAATATCCTTCACTTAATTTTTGAAGGGTATTTCTCCAGTTATGTTTTTGAAAGAAATTTTGAATAATGTGAGTTGGCAGATGTTGGAAGGGATGTGACCAGAAGTTAGATTGGAAGGAGTGGCAAATGAGTGAGTCAAGTTGATCGAAAACAAGTTAAACAAAAATGGATAAAGTAATCGACTCTACTTGTATTTTAAATGGGTAAAAACGAGTTATCCAATGTATAATATTGAAAAACCGTGAGAGCTTGGCCAAAACGGACAATACCACACCATGTTAAGACTATCTTTGAGGTGGTTTAACCCAACAATTCGCCATTCATAGGGATCATGTGTATGTGTGTGAAATTTCTAAAAAACTATACGAAAAGTACTATAAATTGCAATTTTGGGGGTCAATCACTAATTATCGAAGAATCAGTGGACTAACTAACATACATGAAAAATGCCTAAAATCCTGTTTTTGTGATAGCGATTCCAAGTGATGTTCCTTTGATTTTTAAAAAGCACATTTCCTGTTCTGCATCTAAAGTCCAAAGAATACAGTAATTAGTACAAGGAAATGAAAAGTGCTCAGAAAGCAAAATAGTTCAGCTAAACACCTTTATTAATTTCATTCTAGTTTCTAATTTCAAGCTAACATTCAAAACATAATTACAAATAGATAAAGTAAAATAGGTTCAAACCACTCAAATGAAATTATAAACAATACATGACTCCAAGTAGTACTATACGACGACTTTACTAAAGAAACAAAAAGCATCACATTAACTTGCAACTCAGAAAAGAACACCATCTGAAGCGATGCTGATCACTTCTATGTTTCCAGAAATGTGTTCTTAATTTTGTTAAGCCTCTTCACTACATCTTTCATGGTTATTCTTGATTCTGGCATTTCCTTTGTGCATTCTAAACCCAATTCTATCATGGAAGCTATGCACATTTCACTTTTACTAGTGATTTGTTCTTCCTCACAAAAAAAATTGACATCCACAACGTCCATCATACTCCCTGAAAATGATTGTATGATCCATTTCCTCAAGTTAAGATTTCCATTGCATATCTCTTCATCTGTTGGCCTTCTTCTTGTCAAAACCTCCATCAATATGATGCCGTAACTATAAACATCACCACTAGCAGACACTATTCCCTCCGACCCATATTCTTAGAAAAGGTTTGAAAAAAAATTATTCAATTGAAATACAACAATAATTTTGCATAAATAAAGACTTGCTCTTTTTACTTTTAGAATTTGGAGAGGCTTAATTATGATAAGAGAAAATCAAAGAGAGTAGATTTTTTATACCTGGTGCAATGTATCCAGGAGTGCCCAATGTCTCGGTATAAGCCACGGACTTGCTTATGGCTAAAATTTTAGAGATGCCAAAATCACCAACATGAGCCACCATATCTTCATCCAAAAGAACGTTGGCTGGCTTTAGG